GGCCCGCTCATGGTGGAATTCTTCCGCCTCTGAGCGCCTCCTCCTTCCCTTCCGCCCGCGGCGCCTTTGTCCTCCTTCCGCTCTTGCACGCTGGACAAGTCGCCTAGTAGTGCCCCTGCTTCGCTCTTTCGCTGGTGCGGATTGCCCCGCCTCGCCGCCGACCAAAAAAGTGAGCTGGGCCCTCACTATGAACCCGCAGCGCCACGCGTCTCCTCCTCTCCTCTCCTCCCCTCCCTCCTCTTCCTGATCCCTCTCTTGCTTCGCTTCATGACCCCACAGGATGCTCCACTGAAGGCCCCAGTGCCTGCGCCCGCATGGTGACACGCCCCATGTAGACACACCCCTCACGCGCACCGTGGCCCCAAAGGGAGCTCCACCGAAGGCCCTTGTGGCTGCGTCCTCGTAGTGTCATAGTGACCCATCCCATCCCAGCACACACTTCACGCTTCGTGGCCCCATAGGGCGCTCCAGCGACCGCACCCCTCACGCGCTTCGTGGGCCCATAGCACAGCCCTCGTTTCGAGAGAAGGATGGGCTCTTTGCCAGGAGAGTTGTTCTTCAAGAGAACGCGACGAGAGGAAGTCTGCGGTTTCACCCAGGAAGAAGGGGGGGGGGCTGGCACGGCTTCCCAAGGTGTGGCCGGTCGGCAGCTCAAATTCCCCCCCGCGGGGGCCTTGCTGCGCTCCGCGCCCTTCCCGCTGGAGGCCGGGCAGGGATCGGGGGTCGAGGGTGGAGGTTCGAGGATGAAGGGAAGGATCGAGGTTCGAGGAGGAGGATGTCGAGGAGAAGGGGGAGCGGGAGGGGGACGGACGAGGAGCAGGAGGACAGGGGGGATCATCAGTGGCATGAGAGCAGAGCAGCGATGCTGCGCGTCTGGGCCTCGAGCCCATGCGACACGCGCCCCGCGGGAGCTCTTCATGGATCCTCGGCGGCGTCCAGCAGCCCGCGCCTGACCTGGGGGCAGCTCGCGCAGGGCGATACGCAGGGCGAGGCGGCGAGACTGGCGCGTCGTGCCGTGATTGGCGGCGCGGTTGAGCTATTCGATGTGTTTGCGGGATGGCCATCCAGCTGAAGGTCAAGCAGCGGCGAAGCGTCCTGGTGTGCCTTCAGGCCTACCGAACAATGCTCTAAGAACCTCTTGTGGTTTCCACGAAATGTTATTGGAGCGCTTCTGGCTGGGGCTGTCTTGTTTTGACACATCGGTCTTCTAAGAACAGATTTTGTGTTATTCGAACGTTTGTGGGTTCTAAGAACATGTCGTGGTAGGCCTATAGGAATGCTGGGACGGTCGGTCCTCGCTCAAGGTTGCGCTGTTCGAACTGTTTGCCCGATGGCCATCCAGCTGAAGGGCCTGCCCCCAAGTGTTGCGCGCACAGTTCGCAGTATGGTCAGAACACCAGCGGAAGTCTCAAGAAAGCGCCGCATTTTGAATCGGAGCCGCCATGCACTCGCACAGGTCTCCATTTCGTGTGATCGAGTTGTTGAGCAAGTCTCACGCGAGATCCCGATCATGAAGATGAATTGAGCGCCATCCGTGTAACAATTGGAAAGTGTGAGCTCGACTGCGCGCAGCGCTAAGGCCAAAACAATTTTGATAACCACCTGCCCTACATTATCATAACTGCTGGATTTCTTCGAAGCGAATGTGCGCGACGCTGACGCGAGAGCCGCTAGTTGAAAACTACCCGCCTCCATGTTTGGACATGTTGGAAGGTTTGAAACGAATGTGCGCGGTGACAAGGGGACAGCCCCATTTTGAAAACGATCGGCAATACATCCTTGCAAGTGTCGGTGTTGTTTTAGCTTCATGATGGCAACTTGCAAGGACGTCTAAAGGACACGCCCAGTAGTGCAGCAGGGGGGAGTTCTTCATAAAGAGGAGGGTTGGAAGAGGGGTGGAAGAGGAAGGGGCGAGGCGGAGGAGGAGGAGGAAGATGAAGGGGAGGCGGAGGAGGAGGAGGAGAAGGACGGGGCTCGACTTGCTGCACATTGACGGACGGCGGCGGAGGCTCTGGGGTTGAGCGCGACGCTGCTTGCTCCTCGAGCGCTGCCCGCGCCGCTCGAAGCGCGCCGTGCGGGCGCTCACGCTTCAAATACCTGACCTTGGCACGGCATCCGGGAGCTCCACCCTTCCTGATCCGCCCTTGCTGGTCGGATCCTCCTACCTTCGCCTGGTCGGCCTCACGAGAGCCCTCCGGGCCGTGCCGCACCGACAAGAATATCAACATCGACGACATTGGCGGAGCTCTGCCGAGAACCTCGGCTTGGAGGAGTCCGTGACCTCGCCACAAGAGCGTAGCGTGCGCGACGTCCTCCCATCCCGCCCCCACCTCGTACCCGAACTGGTGAGATGGGCGCTCCTCGAGGCTCCCATGGGGCTCGGGCTCCTCTGCGGGTGGGGCATCTTTCTCTCGGATCTCCTCGGGTCGCCCAGGCCTCCATAATATTATCCTCGGGATCTTCCTTCTGACTCTATATGCGCCGTGGCCGCCCAACGAGCGGACTTGCACGCTACATACTTACAACCTCGCCACAACTGGAACTGCTCTATACCGTCACCGTGCTTGGCAGCACCCCCTTAGCAATTCGGTCCGCGTGAGGCGTTTCCTTTGAACTCCCACTCTGTGAACATGCCGGCACTGACTTGGGTCCGAGTGCAGTGAGCTTTGGTCTCGGAAGCTTGGAATGCCTCGCCCGAGCTGTGCTCTCGAACAACTTAGCTACAATCCAGCTCCGCAGCGAAGAGTCCAAACAGTACCCGCACAGTCGACGAACACATTAAGCGGGGCCATCGCACGGACACGCAACATACGTAGAAACGGCATACTCGTCCGCACCCCGAGCTGTTTGCTTCGGGCAGCTGCTCATCCCCCCAAACAAAGCCAGAAACATAAACTGTTGGCGCTCCGCACGGATTTCTTGGACCCGCGCTGGGGCCCCCCGGCGGCGCCTCCGGCAGTTCTTTTTTATTAGGGGAACGAACTACGACATAAACACAACAACTCTGAGGTCCGCGCAGATTTCTCGGATCGGCGTTGGGGCCCCCTGGCGGCGCCTCCCGCGCCGCCCCTGGCGCGCTCCGCGCGCCAGGTAGGGGGGTCGAGCGCCGAGCCGAGAAATCCGCGCGGACCTCCGAGTTGTTCTGCGTATGCCATTGTTCGTTCCCCTATCTATCCTCGGGACTGGCCCCAAGGCCACCGACTCGAAGTTTCCAAACCTTTAGCCTAGACGAGGTCCCAGCCCGCACGGGCCCAAGAAGGGGCCTCTAACCCCAAGGCCGAGCCGTCAAGAAGAAAGGTGCCTGTCACAAGGCCGCGGGTTCCACGGGCACTGGGATTGCCGAGCTCACGGGACGGGAGCGAACTTTGGGCGAGTTTGTCCCCCATGTCGAATCCCCACTCCTTGACACGTTGGGCTCTCGTTTTGTGGAACGCACAAACCCCGTCCCGACGTAATAGTTCAGGTTTCGGACATCCGGGGGCCTGTGCCACAGCGAACCATCTTCACCCCTACATATACAACAGCCAGGCTTCGCGACGAGACCGTGACGATGTAGCCGAACCTGCAGTCAGTGACCTCCAGAAATCAGGGACCTCAATGTACGGTGGTACCGTGTTGTCCAGGAACCCTTTGTACGATTCAGGAGTGTCTCGACGCCGTTCCATAGCAAAGGTACACAGCAGGTAGCTGTCGGCTCCCGACTGTGTAGGGTGTGGCTGTCCGACGCGCGGTTTGGCTCCCTCAGTTGCAAGGTCTTTGATGAGAGCTGAAGGTAACATTCGAATATTCAATTCGGCTTGTCGGTTGTCACCAGACAAGCTCCTGAATGAAAAGCCCAGGTGGTAGAGTTTTCCCAACCATCCTGTGGTGTTGGGTCCTCGTTTTGAAGAGACAGCGCCCCGCGTCACCTCCTTACTCCTCCTCCCCTTCCTCCTCCTCCTCCTCCTCCTCATCATCATCCTCCTTCTCCTCCTCCTCATCATCGTCACCATCATCATTATCCCACCCATTTTGGCACACCCCTCACGGTTTGTGGCCCCACAGGGAGCTCCACCGAAGGCCCCAGTGGCACAGGCCGCATGCGGGGACCGCACCCATTTTGGCACACCTTTCACACGGTTCGTGGCCCCACAGGGAGTTCCACCGAAGGCCCCAGTGGCACAGGCCGCATGTGGGGACCGCGCCCATTTTGGCACACCCCTCACGCAGTTCGTGGCCCCACAGGGAGCTCCAACGAAGGCCCCAGTGGCACAGACCGCACGCGGGGACCGCCACCAACCCGCAGGGAGCTCCACCGAAGGCCCCAGTGGCACAGGCCGCATGCGGGGACCGCACCCATTTTGGCACACCTTTCACACGGTTCGTGGCCCCACAGGGAGTTCCACCGAAGGCCCCAGTGGCACAGGCCGCATGTGGGGACCGCGCCCATTTTGGCACACCCCTCACGCAGTTCGTGGCCCCACAGGGAGCTCCAACGAAGGCCCCAGTGGCACAGACCGCACGCGGGGACCGCCACCAACCCGCAGGGAGCTCACCGAAGGCCCCAGTGGCACAGGCCGCATGCGGGGACCGCACCCATTTTGGCACACCTTTCACACGGTTCGTGGCCCCACAGGGAGTTCCACCGAATGCCCCAGTGGCACAGGCCGCATGTGGGGACCGCGCCCATTTTGGCACACCCCTCACGCAGTTCGTGGCCCCACAGGGAGCTCCAACGAAGGCCCCAGTGGCACAGACCGCACGCGGGGACCGCCACCAACCCGCAGGGAGCTCCACCGAAGGCCCCAGTGGCACAGGCCGCATGCGGGGACCGCACCCATTTTGGCACACCTTTCACACGGTTCGTGGCCCCACAGGGAGTTCCACCGAAGGCCCCAGTGGCACAGGCCGCATGCGGGGACCGCACATTTTGGCACACCCCTCCAGTTCGTGGCCCCACAGGCTCCAACGAAGGCCCCAGTGGCACAGACCGCACGCGGGGACCGCCACCAACCCGCAGGGAGCTCAACAGAAGGCCCCAGTGGCACAGGCCGCATGCGGGGACCGCACCCATTTTGGCACACCTTTCACACGGTTCGTGGCCCCACAGGGAGTTCCACCGAATGCCCCAGTGGCACAGGCCGCATGTGGGGACCGCGCCCATTTTGGCACACCCCTCACGCAGTTCGTGGCCCCACAGGAAGCTCCAACGAAGGCCCCAGTGGCACAGACCGCACGCGGGGACCGCCACCAACCCGCAGGGAGCTCAACAGAAGGCCCCAGTGGCACAGGCCGCATGCGGGGACCGCACCCATTTTGGCACACCTTTCACACGGTTCGTGGCCCCACAGGGAGTTCCACCGAATGCCCCAGTGGCACAGGCCGCATGTGGGGACCGCGCCCATTTTGGCACACCCCTCACGCAGTTCGTGGCCCCACAGGAAGCTCCAACGAAGGCCCCAGTGGCACAGACCGCACGCGGGGACCGCCACCAACCCGCAGGGAGCTCCACCGAAGGCCCCAATGGCACAGGCCGCATGCGGGGACCGCACCCATTTTGGCACACCCCTCACACGGTTCGTGGCCCCACGGGGAGTTCCACCGAAGGCCCCAGTGGCAAAGGCCGCATGCGGGGACCGCACCCATTTTGGCACACCCCTCACATGGTTCGTGGCCCCACAGGGGGCTCCACCGAAGGCGCCAGTGGCACAGGCCGCATGCGGGGACCGCGCCCGTTTTGGCACGCCCTTCACACGGTTCGTGGTCCCACAGGGCGCCCCACCGAAGGCACCAGTGGCAAAGGCCGCATGCGGGGACCGCCACCCATTTTGAAACACCCCTCACACGGTTCGTGGCCCCACAGGGAGTTACATTGAAGGCCCCAGTGGCACAGGCCGCACGCGGGGACCGCCACCAATTTGGGCACACTTTTCACATGGTGTGTGGCCACACGGGGAGCTCCACCGAAGGCCCCAGTGGCACAGGCCGCATGCGGCGACCGCGCCCACTTTGGCACACCGACACCCCTCACATTGCTCGTGGACCCGCAGGGAGCTCCACCGAAGGCCCCAGTGGCACGCCGCATGCGGGGACCGCACCCATTTTGGCACACCTTTCACACGGTTAGTGGCCCCACAGGGGGCTCCACCGAAGGGTCCAGTGGCACAGTTCGCATGCAGGTACCGCGCCCATGTTGGCACATTTGTCACACGGTTCGTGGCCTTACAGGGAGCTCCACCGAAGGCCCCAGTGGCACAGGCCGCATGCGGGGACCGCACAAGACCGCCACCCATTTGGCACGCCCCTCACACGGTTCGTGGCCCCACAGGGAGTTCCACCGAAGGCCCCAGTGGCACAGGCCGCATGCGGGGACCGCACCCATTTTGGCACGCCCTTCACACGGTTCGTGGCCCCACAGGGAGCTCCACCGAAGGCCCCAGTGGCACGCCGCACGCGGTGATTGCTACCCATGTTGGCACACCTTTTAGACGGTTCGTGGCCCCACAGGGAGTTCCACCGAAAGCGGTACCCGCAATGCGGTATTCGCAGTTGCATATGGTTGGGTCTTTCGTCGGGCTAATTATTTGTTGTGTTGCAGATCGGCGCAGCCCCCCCCCTGGAGTGGATCTTACATGTTTTTGTGGCGTTTGTTTCGCGCCTGCTTTGGGCAGGTGTAACCCCCCCATAGGACGCACTGCTGCAAACAGTCGCACTGAGCAGAGGTCCAGAGCCAGGCCCCCCCCCTTTCAGCCCAATGTCGAAACGCCGAATCCATGATCGACCCACGAACTTGGAACGGAATATAGACATGTAAGTCATGACACCTGATTGGGCGACGGGCAAATGCAATGCTGAATATATCGATCTTGATGTACCGTGCCGAGGGGTGTGCTGTGCTGCGCCGTGCTGGATTGCGAGGTGCCATGCCGCGATTGTGCTCTATAGCGTTGTGGATCGAGTCCCCCTTGGCATCCGAGCCCTGATCGAACTGATCCAGATACTAAGCTCGAGCTGCCTGGGCACATAGTAGCTGCCCCAGAGCTACTAGCTAATTGGACATGGGGGCATGCCAGGAGGACGCGCCGCGGAACGTCCCAAGGGACGCGCCAGGCGACGAGCCAGGAGACGTCCCACGCGGACGCATCGCGGGACATGCCAAGGGGACGCGCTACGGAACGTGCCAATGGACGTGCCGCGGGACGTGCCAGGGGACTCGCCGCGCGACGTGTCAGGGGGACTCGCCACGGGACGCGCCACAGAACGTGCCAGGGAACGTGCCAGGTTGCAATGCTGAATGTATCGATCTTGATGTACCGTGCCGAGGGCTGTGCTGTGCTGCGCTGTGCTGAATTGCGAGGTGCCATGCCGCGAGTGTGCTCTATAGCGTTGTGGATCGAGTCCCCCTTGGCATCCGA